AACCTTTTTTCTTTTTGCTTTTTTTAAATAAAAAAAATGTTAAGTAAATTACTGATAAACCCCTCTCAATTATTGAGGCTTTAAAAAAAATAAAATTGAGTTAGATCGTAATCAATAGGAAAAATTGATTCAAGGCCCCAAAAATGAAAATACAATGTGGCCCAGCCCCCTGTATTATTTTTCATGTGTATTAGCCTCAAAAAGGAAAAGTTAATGTGATTCCGCCATTTTTACAATTTCCAAGAGAATTAATTCCCAAAAAACCCCAAACTACCCTCTTCTTCTTCTTCTTCTTCTTCTTTAGATCTTCTCCTTCTCCTCTCATCTCCTCTTCCACCCTCTCTCCAACCTCGCTGGATACCTCCAACACCGCCGCCACCTCCGCCTCCCCTCGACCTCGTCGACTCCATCCTCAGTCGTAGCCCCCGCCGTCACCATCGCTACCCTTCTTCCTCTTCTTCTTCTCCTTCTCTGTCTACCCCCTCTTGAGTTTTGAGGGCTCCGTTCTCTCCCCCGTCGCCCCATCCCCCCCGAGATAGAGCAGATCTCCGTCGCCTCCATCGCCACGTCAGCCCCTCCCCTCCACTCTCTCCCCGTTGTCAAATCCTTGGGCGGGTCGGGATCTGATTCTGGCGGCCTATCCGTCGGCGTCGGAGTTGGTTAAGGGGATCGCGGCCGAGTGTGGGGTTGTTTTTGATGAGGTTGGTGGAGATCTTAGGAGTTCTAATTTGTGTTTTTTTGCTTTGTTTTGGGTGATTGACAGATTAGTTTGGGGGTTTAGGATTCGGGGACGGAGGGGTCGGTGGCGGAAGGTCTAGAGACGTGATTCTTCCTCTGTCATGAAGGCATGGACGAGACGATGTTGAGTTTAGCTGATCAAGAAGCAGACAACCACTCATAGATTGACTTTTTGGAGGGCCAACGTCTCGTTGACTATGGAAGATCAGATCACCGCTCCTCTAGTTCTCTGATTTGAAGTCATTGCGCTGCAAATGTATCTGATGCACCGCCAATTATACAATAGACTGAAATTATTACTCATAATTATGTGTTACTTTTTAACTTTTTTTTTTCCAAAAGAAAAGTTTATTCTAGTAGTGTCGTGTGAGTGTGATGATACATAGATATTAGTATTTTAGTCTGTATTGAGTAACATGTTCCTTTTTGCATGAGATCAGGATAACATGTTCCATTTTGTAATTTATTTGGTAAATATCATCAGAAACATGTTAACTTTCTTTGTTCGTTTGTTAAGTTACACTGGTAACATGTTAACTTTTACAGTTCGCTTGTTAACTATAATACGTAGCATGTTAAATTTAATTGGTAAATTGATAATTATATTCAGTAAACTGTTAACTATAATTCATTATCCGTTAACTGTTATTTGTAATCCATTATTCGTAACTGTTATTTCGGGTCATAGACACGTTAATATAGTTCTCATTTAACATGTTAACTATAATACATAGCATGTTAACATAATCCGTTAACACATTAAAATAGAACTATAATACGTAAATTGATAACTATAATACGTAGCATCTAACACGTTGTTGTTAAAACTTGTTTCTCAGCCACGCTGTTGTTAAAACCACCTGGATCACTTAACATAGGTGTGATTGTTGTTAAAACCACCTGGATCACTTAACATAAGTGTGAATATGTGCTAATTCTTCTTCTTCACAAGAGTTAACATGTTATCCACAAGAGTTAACATGTTTGCCACAAGAGTTAACATGTTATCCACAAGAGTTAACAAATTAGCCACAAGAGTTAACATGTTATCCACAAGAATTAACATGTTATCCACAAGAGTTAACATGTTATCTACAAGAGTTAACATGTTAGCCATGGATTGAGCTCGATGATTTTAACATGTTATCTACAAGAGTTAACATGTTTAGTAATTTAATGTTAACTCTCTTTAATGTTAACTGTGAATCTCTGTTAGTTGCTTATTATGTTTGCTGTTTAGATGTTAGCTTTCATGTTTTAGATTTTAACCCTCCGTAACTTATTGCTTGCTATGTCATCTTAGTGATAACAGCACAATTACATACCCGAAACTACTATATTTGCTCCGCGGGGGAAGACTCGATGACAAAGTAATAGAGGTCATCTTAGATAGATTACGGCAATGGTTGCAGTTGCAGGAGAACGTTGCCTTAAACAAGCAGTATGGGATTGTATCTATATATTTATGCGTAAGATCAATCCTCATATAATTAGTTAACATCTAAGCTCTTATAGTTAACATGTTAACCACAATAGTTAACATGTTAAAATAATCGTTAGTCACAACAATGAACATGTTAGCCACAAAAGTTAACATGTTATCCACAAAAATTAACATGTTATCCACAAGAGTTAACATATAGCCACAAGAGTTAACATGTTATCCACAAGAGTCAACATGTTATCCACAAAAGTCAACATGTTATCCACAAGAGTTAACATATAGCCACAAGAGTTAACATGTTATCCACAAGAGTTAACATGTTATCCACAAGAGTTAACATGTTAGCCATAACAGTTAACATGTTAAACACAAGAGTTAACATGCTAACTACAACAGTTAACATGATAAATATTATGGTTAAAATATTAACTATATGAATTTGAACCATGTTCATATGTTAAAGATCGCTCTTCCTTAATGTCTTAATTTTGTATAACAGCATTCACTCTATTCCCAATTGTTCGCCATGATGTAGTTGGCCACTTTACTGTAAAGAAGCAACAAAATCGTTTGTGAAACAATCAACAGATTTGGTGGTAATATCCCAATCTCATCTTTTGGTACACTATGATTCTCAATTATATTTAGGGATTAGGTAAATGTTAACAGTCAGTCAACTATAGTTTACATATATTAGGTTTAACATTTACTCCACTATACTTAACATGGAACAAATAAACGTTAACAGTTAATTTTTTTATAGTTTACATTACTAACACTGTAAAAATTGAACTAACATGATACACCACTATAAAAATTGAACTAACATAAATTCACTTTATTCTTAAATACTTCCGTTCAAATCATAAAGCAATGGCATAAAACCAAACCTACATTCTCCACAATCAAGCTCTCCTCCACCCTAGCCTTCTTCTCCTCCACCTTCTGAGACCTCGTCATCTCGCAAGCAACACAAACTCCTCATAACTGAGCTCATCATCAGATCCATGAAATAGCTAAACCCAGTATCACGTACAATCTCCTCATAATTCTCAAAGAAAGAAACCAAAATCTCTATTTTCTTTGTTTACCCACTAAAGCTCACAAATTGCTAAAACCAAAAAACCCCAAAGGGGGGGGGGGGGATCAGACCCAATCTCTGCTCTTCTTTTATTTGTACACTATAAGCTCACAAATTGTTATAACCCATCGAAAAAAACATCACCAAAGAGAGCAAACCAGCTCCAATATCTGTTTTCTACATGTTTTTTTTCACTTATAGCTCACAACTTGCTAAAACGTCCATAAAAAATCAACACAAAATGAGAGGAAAAAAGGATAGAAAGCAACTCAAAAGGATGCACACATGCAGATATGATAAATTTGAACCCAAAAGACTTCAGCTTTTCAAAAAACAACAAGGGGCCTTATTCCCCCCCCCTCCACCACCTCCGACCACCCCATCACCGATCCTACCACCACCAAACTCGGCCAATCCCAGCGATTCCAGCGACCCCACCCTATCCCTAGATTCCTCCAGATCTAGCGATTCCAGCGGAAGAAGAAGAGGCGGCGCGATGGTGGCGGCGGGGTCTACGACTGAGAATGAAGTCGTAGAGGTCGAGGGGAGGCGGAGGTGGAGGAGGTGGCGGCGGTGTTGGAGGTTCCCAGCGAGGTTGGAGAGAGAGGGTGGAAGAGGAGATGGGTTTGTTGGAAGAGAAGAAGAGATCTGGAGAAGGAGAGGGGTAATTTGGGGATATATTCCCTTGGGAATTGTAATTGGGGCTGAATCACACAGAGTTCTCATTTTTGGGGCTAATACACATGAAAAATAATACAGGGGGCTGTGCCACATTGTATTTTCATTTTTGGGGCCTTGAAGCAATTTTTCCTAATCAATAATAATCATTATAAATTATCTAACACATCCAGATACATAACCTGTTTTGCTAAAATTGTTATATAAAGATTCTATCCATATTAATAAGTAAATACTTTTGGAAAATTATTTGCTTCCCCTTCACTCCTTGTTTACTACTTTAGCTCATTCTAGAAACATTTTCTTCACTTAATCGTCTTTATGTTTTTTCTTATTTGACACATGCGAATATTCTGATGGAGAGAAAAAAATAATAATAGTTGGGATTCTAAATTGAAAACCGAGTTAAATGAGGCGGCTAAAACAATTTTTCTTGGAAACTTTTTACCTTTGTTGACTTTTTAGTACTATAAGATGTTTTTCTATTCTAATCCAATGTAAATAGAACATTATTACGAACCAAACAATTTTTTTTTAAAAACAAGATTGGTGGTCACCTGATGAAGACAGATAATTAGTATCAAATACTAAGAGCATCACCAACAGCTTCTTTAAAATTTTCTCCAAAATGGGAAAACAAAAATCATATTCTCCAAATTATTTTTACACCAACTCCAACAGCTTCCCCATTTTGAAGAATCGTTTTTTTTCTCCAAAAATTTGGAGAATGCTGCAGATTTGGAGAAGCTTCCCCATTTTTTCTCCTCCATCCCTATTTTGGGGATTTGGAGAATGCTGCAGATTTGGAGAAGCTTCCCCATTTTTTCTCCTCCATCCCTATTTTGGGGAATGAGATGGGGAATCTGTTGGCCTCCATCCCTATTTTGGGGAATGAGATGGGGAATCTGTTGGACCAAAAACCTAACTATATTCTTCAAAAATAAAAAATGAAGAAGCTGTTGGAGATACTGATCTAACTAACCACCTAGTTCGCAGATCTTGATTTTTTATTTTATTTATTTTATTTCATTTTGCATTTTTTCAGCCATTAGCTATAGCCTAATTGCATATAGCCTCTCTGAAATTCTATTGATACAGATAGATCGCTTGAGAGTGAACTTTGTCATCAACAATGAGCAAGTAAGAGAATTAATTATAGAGGGTCTATCAGCAATTAGGTAACAGTACTTCACAATTAAGTGATATTTTTTTACCCAACATCTAAAACACTAGAACTGTTTATAAAAGCGAACATATTTTCTTTATTAGTGGTGATAGAGGAAAAAATGAAGACAATATTCCTCATACATGATTGTTAAAAAAAATGTTGTAATCTTGAGTGTTATGGCTCAACAACAAAATTAGAGAAATTAATCCCCTGTTAATTTGCCTCATAAATAAGCCCGTTCCCGCCATTTTCACACCCAAAATCGACTTTCCCGCCCTTTTCTTCCCATTCCCCCATAAATTTCACAACTCCCAAAATTTGGGGGAAAAGAAAGAAACACAAAAATTTTGCAAACAAAATAAAGAAAAATTCTTTAAGGACCCAAAATATGGGACTAATAGGGGGGACAAGTGAGGTGTCCCTCTCCTACTGGATAATGAGTTGGTCATCATTAATGATGATCAACTCATTATCCAATAGGAGGGGGACATCTCACTTGCCCCCCTATTAGTCCCATATTTTGATTCCCTGTAGCAAAGCTCCAAAATAAAAGGTCAATAAAGAAGGCGATGAAGAAGCTTACCATCGAAGACTACGCCACCGCCATCGCCGAACCCAACAAGCAAAAGCTCCCCCTCCATCACGTGAACGAGGTCTCCCCCATCTCTCAAAACCCTAATTTTGAGTTTTTTTACAAAAAAAACCTCCTTTTCCCCCTAAAATTTCCATTTCAGGTCATCTCAATACACGGATTCTGCAAGGCTAGGACGAAGGTAATCAGCTCAGCACACCCAAAACCCTAGAACTAGCTAGATCCCTCACCTTCCTCCCTAAAAATCTCACCTTTTTCGCTTTCTTCAGCCAGAAGGAGTGAATTGCTTGCTGGCGCTGGATCTGATGAGCGTGAGGCGATCCACGGTCGGAGATCCGGCGGCGGCGTTCCCCTGCGCTCCGCTGACGCTCGAAGAGGTGAAGGCTGATGTTAGGGCGATTGGATGGGACAAGTGCCCCATTGGATCGTTGAGAGCTGTGACCGCCGGAGCGGTAATCAAAAAATGAAAGATATTGGCAAAGGGTGCATGGTTACTTCCATCAATTCAAGAATTGTGAATCTCAACGGACGGCAAGTTCTTTAATGAAGCGTTGGTCGTTAATTCAACATTTTGTAAAAAAAATTTGTAGCTACTATGCTCAAATTTCAGCAAGGCAACAAAGTGGTATTAGTGAGAGCGATAAGGTATTAATTTCATTCAAAAATTTTAATATCGTATTTACGTATAATAATTTTTAAGTAGGCTTAATTTTTAAATAGGTATGTCAAGCAGTGGAATTGTACACGAGCATCCAAAAGCATCCATTTCAATTTCTTCATTGCTGGAGAGAATTAAAAGATGCACCAAAGTGGAGAATTGATAGTTCTAAAAAAAATCTAAAACTCCATACAAATCTGGTCATGCAAGTTCTAGTCCTGCAAGTTCCATTCCTTCAAGTCCAGATACAATAAATTTGGGAGAAGATGATATTGCTCGTAATACCTTTTTCGAAGGATTGGAAAGACCAATAGGAAGAAAAGCTACAAAGGAACTGTTAAGAAAGGGAAAGGGAAAACGTGAGTTTGATACAAGTATGCCTATGGCATAGAAATTTGAAGAGTTCGTTGAAAAGCTTGATGTGAACAATCAGAAGAGACAAGAACAACTTGACAGAATATATGCTCAAGAACAAGAGAAGATTCTTATTAAGAAAGAAAAACTTCGATTGGAACAACAAAGAGAAGATGAAAGAATCATGTCAATTGATACTAGTAACATGGATCCAATGCAAGCAGAATATTACAAACAACTCAAGATGCGAATCATTGCTAAAGGAATTGATGGTAGTTTTAATTAGTTGTCATTGTTTAATAAGTATTATGTTGTAAGTTGTGCTATTTTCACTATGTGTGTTTTTATGTTGTTATGTATCATTTTCAGTAATTAAGCTTATGTTATTATGTGTGATTGAATTAAAAAAATGGGAAAATTGTGTCCAGGCCCCAAAAGTGGGAACTTCATGTGACAAGCCCCCACATTAGATCTAAAACTGAGGTGGACAGAACTACCACGCCAGACACTAGGACTAACACTATCAATTTAGAACTAACACAACAGACAATAGAACTAACACTATCAATAACAGAACTAACACAACAGATAATAGAACTAACACTCTGCACATTAGAACTAACATGACATTAAACAGAACTAACACAACAGACAATAGAACTAACAAAACAGACAATAGAACTAACACAACAGATAATAGAACTAACAAGACAGACAATAGAACTAACACAACAGACAATAGAACTAACACAACAGACAATAGAACTAACAAGATAAATAATAGAACTAACACAACAGACAATAGAACTAACAAGACAGACAATAGAACTAACATAGAAAAATAACAGAACTAACACAACATACAATAGAACTAACAAGAGAAATAATAGAACTAACACAACAGACAATAGAACTAACACAACACACAATGCTTCCTAGTCTCCACCATGTCATTGCCACAAATGCTCAATAAGATCTGCCTGCATTTGAGAATGTGTTTGTCTGTCTCTAATGCGATGGTGGGCTTGAATAAATTCAATAAATTGTGGTGTGCGCTCACGAGACAATGATATAGTTGGACTTTCATCGATTGCATCATAGTTAAAATCGCATTGATTAATATCTCGCTCGTCTTCAGTGATCATATTATGCATTATGATACATGCTTTCATAATATCTTTTAGTACTTCTTGATCCCAAAATCGCGCTGGTCCACGTACAATTGCAAAGCGTGCTTGGAGGACCCCAAATGCTCGCTCTACATCCTTTCTTGCTGATTCTTGAGCTTGTGCAAAAATTTTCCTCTTATTTCCTTGTGGAGCAGAAATTGTTTTTACAAATGTTGACCATTGTGGGTATATACCATCAGCAAGGTAATATCTCATCGTATACTCATGAGAATTAATAGAGTATTTAACTGGAGGGGCACGACCTTCAGTAAGTTCGGTAAAGAGATTTGACCTTTCAAAGACGTTAATATCATTATGAGATCCTGGTAACCCAAAAAATGCATGCCATATCCAAAGATCGTATGACGCAACGGCTTCCAAAATAATTGTTGGCTCATGGAAGTGACCAGCATACATCCCATGCCACGCAGCCGGACAATTCTTCCATCTCCAATGCATACAGTCTATGCTCCCTAACATTCCAGGAAATCCGCGTTGTTCACCAATCTCTAGCAATCTTCTGATATCGTCATTGTTTGGTGACCTCAAATACTCATCGGCGAAAATTTCAACAACGACCTTGACAAACCTTTTAACACTTTCAATAGTCGTGCTTTCACCAATCCGCACGTAATCATCCACAAAATCTGCAGATACTCCATATGCAAGCATCCGCATTGCGGCTGTTATTTTTTGAAGGGATGATAAACCAAGATTACCTGCAGCATTCCTTCTTTGGACAAAGTAAGGATCAAAATCTTCCACCGCGGATGCAATTCGGAGGAAAAGTGGACGATGCATTCGAAACCACCTTCGAAATAGTCGTGGACCATAAATGGGCTCCTCGGCGAAATAGTCACGATAAAGTCTATTATGACCTTGAACTCTATCGCGTTGAATGACAACATGGCCTCGAACGGAACCAAGACGGCGCGATGCATTCCTCTCGTTAGTCACCCGCTCCTCTTCAACGACGGTCATTCCTAAGAACATTACGTATTCCTCGTCAGCTTCTTCTTCCATGAGGAGCGCAGCTATTTCGTTGCTATGAGACATAGATGATATTAGAAAAATGATGCTAACAATGAACACAATTTGAGTTGAGTGAAAAATGAGAGTGCATATGATATTATTTATAGAGGTCATATTAGCCGTTATGATATAACCGTTGAAATATAGCCGTTACAATTTAGTTGTTGGAATATAGTCGTTATAATATAGCCGTTATGATATAGCCGTTGAAATATAGCCGTTACAATTTAGTTATTGGAATATAGCCGTTATAATATAGCCGTTATAATTATTTATTACAAAAGGAGGTAAATAAAAAATGTCCAAAACTATTTAGGGAGCCTTTTGGGGAGCATTGTTGGAGCACTTGCTCCTTATTTGGCTCCCTATTTCTTATGATGGGATATTTGCTCCTCAAATATAGGGAAAAACTAGGATCATTGTTGGAGTTGCTCTAAGAAGCGAAAGGAGTGGGATTGTTTTATTAAATTTTAGAGGGGGCTAAGCGTAAAATATATTTTAGTACAGGGTCTACGTGTGATTGGGGAGTTAGTTACATACTAGTGAATTAAGGTGTGCTAACTAACAAAAAGCGGGGGACAAACAAGAAAGAAAAAGAATTCATTTTCGGGTGTTTGGTTCAATGTAATTGAAGTTGCAGTCATATTGCATGCAGCATTTAGTGGCTGTTTGGTTGTTGTTGGTAAAGTTATGTATTTATGACACAACTTGGAAAGTTGTTGTCCACCTCATCAATTTCACTTTTATACTTTTCTTTGTTTGTTTTTGATTCCATTGGAATCATAAATTGCTTGTTTGGTTTAAAGATGTAACTTTAATTGTTTGTTTGGAAAGTATAAAAAGTGGTCCCTACTCAAATGATCATATTCGTTAGAATTATTTTTTATTATTTTTTCCTAACTTCAATGTCAACTTTCTTCGAAAATCATGTCTTTTTTTTTATGAAATCACTTTACAAGCCACATCAGCATATGAAATCACTTTACACTATTTTCATAACTACAAACAAACAATTGAAAGTGATGAAAGCTGACATTGGGACCCACGTTTTTACACTTTACATCATTTTACATGGTAAAAACATACAACCAAACAGCCCCTTATTGTTGGAAATTAACATAAAATCTATTATTTAAATGTATATATTTTATTTTACTAAGCGGGTGTTTGTTTCATCAAAAATTTTGACATTTGGTATGGATTACATGTTTTGGGATCAAAAAGTGAGTTTTTTTGTATTTTAGGATTATATATATGGTGTTTGTTTTAATAAAAATTTTAGAATATTGAATCTCAAAAGTGCAAAAAGTATCCGATTTTTAAAATTTACCAAATTTTTCTCAATTGGAGAGGATTTTGACAAATCGTATAAATGTGTGTGCTTAGTATTTGACAAATTCTAATTTTGTTTTTTGTGGGAGTTAACCTCACCAAGATATTATATTCATTATATTATAAAATGTTGACATGTGGTAGTTCTACAATTTGAGCTTGAAATAAATAAAATATTATAAATTATAGTATTTTAAATCTCAAAATATTAATGTAACAAATAATATTTTAGAAATCTCAACTCATAACAAAACACTTATGGATTTTAAATTTTATGGTGAAATTCATTTCCTAAAATTATAAGATTTGAAACAAACACCCCCTAAATGTATTTTAAAATTCAAATTCAACGCTTTGGTACAATAGATTTGAATTTTATTGTTGTGAAAAATATATTTTCATTGCAAACAAGTATTTGTTTCTCCAAAAATATGAAAAGATCTATATTTTGAGTTACAACTCTACTAATTCAACGATCTGTCATTCTTTAATTGTTTTATAATTCATGAAATTGCAATATTTGTTGCGGTTAAAATGATGAAATAAATGTCGTCGATTTTTTACTACAAATGTTAGTCAAGTTATCATCTCTAAAAATCTTGTTGCAAACAAAACATTAAAAATAGAAATTTGTTGTGATATTTGCAGTTGTAAATCTATTTCACATCAATCAAATAAATCCAAAGTGGGCTTTTTATTGTAAAATAGATTTGGGTTAAGGTAGTATTTATTATTTAGCGAGCTAATATCATATTCAACTATGGGGTTTTATCTATACAAAGCTATACACCTCTTAAATCTAAAATATTAGTAAAGTATGGTTTAATCCTAATATCTTTAGGGCAGATTTCACTACTCTAAAGAGTTGTTTGGTAATTTGAAAGTGAATTGAAAAGGCATAAGTTGCTCTTTTCTTGCAAATGACTTTTACATCTCTGTCAGCATGGAAGTAAATATAGTGTTTGTTTAAAAATTAAAATTATTGTTGAAAGTGTGATATAAAAATGATGTGGCAAAAGAAAATTAATTAGCAGATATAGTCACAACAACTCTCCTCATGTCTCTTCACAATGTATTAAATATTATGTCACTAGCTACCATTTTTGTCACATTTATGTGACTTCCACCACTTTTTTAGGGGATATCAAAATTGCATTAAATTTTATGTGACAATTTTCTTATATTTTACTTTCGTAACCATTTACATGCAAATAAATACCTGAAATACTAAAAGCAAGTTAAGTTTTTGTACTTTTCATCTTTTACTTATAAGCAGCCAAACACTCCCAACCCAATAAATTTGGGTATCCAAGAAAGCCCCAAGCGTTTTGACTTCAATTACACACATAATTTTCTATTAAAATGTTGCATTATAGGCATTATATTGATTGGTATGGTTTTCCTAATAAAATGCTTGCAATTATTAAAAAAGATATTAATTAATTATTAATAGTTTTATCAGTTGCAGAGAAATCATGTAAATTTTGACTATGAATCATATCAAAATTTTGACTATTTTACAGCGAGAGATGTTCCGTATCGAAAGGAATAGCTGTTGCTTCTTAAACCTAAAACACTAGAAGAATCTTAGGGGGGTTATTCGTTGGTGTAATTTGGGGTAAATCGAGGTAAATTATTCCAATGGGGTAATTTTACCCAATGAGATAATTTGAGTGGGATAAAGTGGGATAAAATAGGGTAATGGGACAATTTGAGTGGGACAATTGGTATGACATCTTTTTATAATATTATATTTATAGCTCAATTAAGTTCAAGTTTAACTTGATATAATATCAAATGATTAAATAAATAATAGTTATAATATACAATAATATTATTTTTAAAATTATTTTAATATAAAATATTAAAAATAATATAATAATAATAATAATATTATTATTATTATTAATCAATCTTTAAATATTTTGATGTTTATTTTAACTATTATACTATATTAATAAACTTTTTAATTGCAATAATTATTTAATCATTCATCTTCACAAACATATCATTCACGTCTTGGGAAATATTTTGACTAAGGACAGTCAATCGTTCTTCATCGGTAAATTCTGGAATTGAAGCCACTCCCTCGACCCACGGTTGGTTGCGGCTTCGCAACAACCTCACCTCTGTGACTAACTCTTGTAAAGCCTTACTTATAATTGTAATTCCACTCGCCATTTCTTGCACGGCGGGTTGAGACAATACAGAGGCGGTGGTGCGGGAAGGTGCTTTACGAATATTTCTGCTCGTGCTAGAGGTCGATGGAATAGATTCAGCCACGGGAGTGGTAGGGCCTGGAGTGCAATTAGGGGGAGGTGGTGGAGGATCTACTGGTGGCTGGGTAGGTTCTGCTTCACCCATAGCATCAAGTCCAATGTCATCATCCAATATACTCTCACCCAATGCATTATGTAATGACACACTCTCTACCCCCTCACAACCTAAGCCTCCAGCAGCTCTCCCACTAGCTGAGTGGCTACCCACCACCATCTGCATATCCTCTAAATTTTCAAACAACTTATCTTTAAGCATTGGTGTATTAGGATGAGCCTGTCAACAAACAAAGATAACAAATTAATTTTTTCTTTTTTTGTAATTAGCAAACATACAATATATTATGTAGAAACTTTGGGTAGTTAAGAATCTAACATGTTTGTAATTTTCCCACACCTCAGCGGAGCAAGTAATTCTCTGAGATATTGGGTCCCAACCAAACCTGGAATTGTTCCTCAATAGTAATTCAATTGGTTCAATCTTCCTCTTCCAACTTTTGATCTTATTCTTTACATGATCAAATTTAAAAGTTTTTCCAAATTTAGCATTCATGAATGGCAACACATTTTGTGTGATGGTATATTTCTTGAAGTTGTCATTATCCATCTTGTTGTCATTCTTCACCTCCTCCACTAAAAACCTTAGTAGCTCTCTATTCTCTTGTTCTGACCATATTACGTAGTCACGCCTAGCCTTTTTGGCCCTCTCACCATCTTGAGAGTACACTTCCACATTTTGAGTTTCCGAAGCCAAATTCATCCTACAACGCAAATTTGATATATGTCAGATCCACTTCAGTTAATCCTAGCATGGATACATGATGATTCAAGGCAGTTTGATATATGTCAGATAATAGCTTGTCTCTATCCTGGACATATGTCAGTTTGATATATGTCAGATCATGGTTTTTCTTACAAGAATAGGTAGCGCTCTGCTGCAATTTACGTGACTAGCCTTGTTGTGATTTTGATAATGATCTGATTATAAAGGATGCAACATACAAAGGAAATGCAGAAAAATCCCGGGATATAAGGACCAAAAATATATTAGTCCAATTTAGTTTAACTTCTCCTAACCCAATCTCCTCTCTCATAAGTTTAAACTGTGGTCCTACTCTCAAATAGATGCAAGGGTTGAAATGAACATACAAAACTCCTTGAATATGTTATCTATCACCATCATCTGTGGCATTAGTATTTCATTTTGCTGCTATAAATCTAGGTTGCACCTACGTCAGGGGATAACCACAGGACCAGAGTAAGAATATAAGATGGAAAAATATAGAACAATTTGCAGGTTTATGAGAGTAGTTCTATTTGCTAAAGTTCTTGGTGGCTTTGGGTGTTACATTGGTTCATATCTTCTAAAAATGGACGGGATCACATGGACCTCATCCTTTCCTCCAAAAAAAAGTTGGAAGTTGTAAGAGCCTAGGATATTAACCTTTTATTCAGAAGGATTTGAATGCCTAATACTCAAAATTGAATGAACAGTAACAATGTAGCAGGAACCGAAAGTTCAGCAACAGTCCAGTAATTATACAGGTGCCAAAAAGGAGCTCACACGATAAACATTGAAGAATTATACAAGTGCATCCGTCTCACTTGGATATGATGATTGATGACACCGGAAATAGAAATAATAATTACAATACTATAGGCAATCTTACCTGATCACTGATTTTTCTCTTTTGCTGCCTGGTGCCTGTGGAGGAGGCGGCGGAGGAGACGACGACAGATCCGATGCTCGAGAACGGCGACGGCGGGAACGGCGACGGGTGGCTCTCAGGCTCGAGAACGATGACGGAGGAACGGGTGAACGCCCTCGAGAACGACGACGGTGATCGTGATCTCGCTCGAGCTCGAGATCGGAAGTGAAGTAATCGATCCCCTCTTTTGTTCGAGGAGGCGAAAGGGGGTCATTTTGGACTGGGAGGCTGAGTCAAGCTTATATAGCTGGGATAATTTTAGGAGTAATGGAGTTTTTGTTCCCCAATTACACCAACAAACCAATAACACCAAAGAATTCACTCTAGTTCCAACTATCCCAATGAATAACATCAAAAGGTGATGTTCCAAAAATTATTCCATTATCCCCCAAATTACACCAACCAATAACCCCCCTAATAAACCCAACGCTGAACCTAAAACCAATTTCGCGCGTGTTTACAGCCTTTGGCAACCGCTGGACCTTTCTAAAATGTTACTGCTCAAAAAAACACCCAACTGAACATCACACTAACCCATAGATTTCTTTGTTACACAAGACACGGAAAAAGAAATAACTTCTGCTCGGAACTCGCACTTCGTATAATTATAGCAAAATTGCAGGATCTGATTTCTTTCTTCAGTTTCCATAGTTTACAATCTGAGTACCACGGGCAGGAGATAAAAAAAAGGAAAATAAGTTAGCTGTTTTTTATAACCACTAAACTTAAAGAGTACAATTACTGGATGGATTACTGAACGCTAGTCGGGCTTCTTTACATGAATTCGGCATCTTCTTCGTCTTGGTCAAGAATAACAGTGGCAAAAGCACGGCGATAAGCAGCAGATCTCAGATTTCTGACCCACACTTTAATTTCAGGCCTCGCTGCTACCTCCTGCATCGATTCTCTTGATTGCTGCTCTCTCAACTGAGCAAGCAACTTCGCTTCACAGAACGCCACCGCTGTTGGCTTCTTACTGTTCATGTTAACGCAAATTTGCATCGGTAGGGGTATTTTGATTTGGGCACTCTACAAATAAGTACTCGACAAATAATAATATATTACAGTAAATCCTGTTATCAATTGTAGAAGTGATACTTTATCCGTCTTTTTTCAGTTTGCTTGTTAACCTTAACATTTTCAATGTAATTAACAATTTTCATCAAAAGATAATTGAAGTTAATGTGGCACTAGAGAATAATCATTCCATGACCCGGATTTCATGCCCACTTAAATTTCATAGAAACTAAGGTGAAGAAGTCAAGCAGTCACTTCTGAAATTTTAAGGTTTTCTATGAATCTCACAAACTTCACAGGGATTTTACTTAATTTATTCCAATAAAAAGAAAAAAGAAAAAAAATCCTAAGAGGGTGTCGGCAAGGAAAATACCTTCCCCGAACAAAGCCAGTTGTGATGAAGCCTATAGGCCACCGATATGAATCTAGGTTTGAACAATCCTCAGGAAGTTGTAGCTCCCACTTCCCAAAATCCTGCTGCGTAAAATACGATTTTATGAGAGATTGGGGGATTTGAAGTGTGTCATCTTCTCCTGATCTGCAATATCGAACATGATCACTAAAGTTCAATTTTGAGATAGAAATATAACCTGAACACAAAATCAAATTACCAACATATGCAATACCTCGATTCCCAACGTCGCAAGTCCATAAGGATAGGTGCACAAACTATTGCTCCGTCCTCAAAAGCACCTTCCTTGAACGCACGAAGGAGAACTCTTACAAGACAGAAACCTCTTCCCAAATATTTGCTCAAACTGCTAGAATCTCTCGGTATAAAACCATTGAAAGAGATATCAGATTGCTCTGATGACGTGGAATCAGGATTTTTTGAGTCTGACACGAACGATGAACTTGAGGGACATTGTACGCCGAGGAACTTGCAAGTAGATTCTATAGAGTGCCATGGGGGAGGTATGGGAATTTTTGTGGGTCTCACAGCAGGAGGACGAAGCTCAGCTGATTTATCGAACTCAGCAGCTTCGGCAGCCA